TCGCTCGGCTCCGGAGCGCGGGGCCGGGTCCGCGCTGCGCGCTGCGCCTCCCCGGGAGCCGCTTCCCCGCGCGCCCTCACGTCCGGGCTTACAAGCCGCTTCGGCGGAAACGACTTTGCCCTCCAGCGACCTGTGGTTCCTCTAGTTCCCGGTGCGTGTCTTCGGAGCGCTTTGTTTCACTGCGGCGGACCGGCGCCCCCGGGGGCTGCGGGCTGCGGGGTCTCGGGCGGAGCCGCAAGCTCGCGCGCAGGTTTTGGGCGCCGGCTGCGTGAACGGCTGCTGGGAAACGCAGGGCCCGGAGGGCTGAGCGTTACGGACTCCCTCTCCGCAGCTCTGGGACTTAAGCTTTGTGGATTTCAGGAGCTAAAGGAAAGGGAGGGATGGGGCCGGGCCTGTCACTGGTCGCTTTTCCCAAGTTAGAATAAGGGAAGGTGGTAGCAGAAGTTATAAAGCGAAGCAGGCCGACGGCGGTCCGAAGGCTGCGCCCTCAAATGAATGTCCAGGATATGTTAATAAGGCTTCCACCCTGCTTTCTTCCTCTTCGCGCGGTTTTTTCCCACCGGCCACTAACCCCAAGGGCCTTTTTCTTCATTTTATCTGAAGCTGTGTTCTTGTTTGTTCGCAGAGAGGTACATCTGGGTCAGGTAAAGCTAATTACAAATTAGTAACTACCATTTGAGAGCGCCTGGGAGACTTGCTATTAAACATCTTATACACATTCTTACAACCTATTCAGTAGGTGTCAAATGGAAGTTATTCCCACTATACCGACAAGGAAAATTAACTGTAATAAAAGTAATTCACAGAACTAATTTTAAAAACATTTCACCCCCATTGGTAGTGTTTTCTTGCTGCTCTTGCTCTTTCCCCTCCTTGGGGCTGACTATTACAATTCTGTTGGGTTTCAAATCAAATAGCCAACCTAAAAGACAAATGAAAAACTTTTAACATACCCGCTGCAAGGTCTAAATTACACTGACAGCAGAAACATTTTATTTTACTGCTTAGCACATGCACGGTTCTTCCGGGGGGAGGTGCAGGAACTTGGCAGGTAAGTGGAACTGGGGAAGAACAGGAAGTAACACCATTTTTTAGGAGCCGTCAAAAACTTTTTAGTGCTAAGGTTGCCACTGTGTAAGGCATGAGCTTTAAACCCAAAACTGCACTCAAATCTCCGTTCCTAATTGTGTATTTTTAAAGCAATGTATTCAATCTAACAAGCCTGTTTTGTCACCTTTATTATGGATTATCTTCCTACTAAACAAAAACTGATGAGAAGAAAAAAACATTTTGTGCTGGGCACATCCCTGTAACCCCAGCCACTGGGGGCTGAGGTATAAGTACAGACTGGGCAACTCAGAAAGACCCCATTTCAAAGTTACTATTTCTTAGAGTTAGGGATGTAGCTCGGTTGCAGAGTGCATATTCACACTACCAAAATACGGTGTTATATAGTGCTACATAGTACATGGACATCTGAGAAGTCCACACACCACTTTCATTACTCCATGCATTTTCAAGAATATCTACATCACCGGAATAAAAAAATTTAACACTGTCTCTGACAAGTACATATAAACCAACTCAAAACAGCAAGAGGCATAACTGCCACAAAGGCAAGTATAATTTTTCTTCCCCAAAACTAGCTGCATCTCAGTATGGATAGATCCTCTCTCCCACATCTATAAGCATTTTGGGGAAAAGGTAAACCAAAAAAATGTTTTAAGTTGTAAATGATGGGATAGAAAAGATAGGAAGAAAACAGGTTTCTGTTATCTAGAATTCCACATGCTATTCATTTTGTACTGAAACATCAGTAAAGGACAAATCAGACTTTGTTTATTAAAAAAATACTTTACAGGGGAAAAAAACCTCTATGCATTCCATTGTCCTATTTTACAAAGAAATAGCTTAACAATTTAACACACTTAGACAGCTACAAAAAAGCACTGTGTTAAAAGGATTATTATTCACACAAATTTGGATTTAAGACTATTCATTAAAAACTTTTTTAAAACACTTGTTAATGTCAATAAACAAACTAAGGCCACACAACGCAAAAAGTCCGCCAGGCAAATTATACATTTCATCTATATGCAAAGACCTCTTAAGATAAATTAAAGCCACAGGAAAAAAATTCTTAGCTGCCAATCAAAATGGAGTTTAGTCACAGAAAACACTATTACATGAAAATTTACAACATGTGATAGAAGCAGTACATATTTCTTTAGAGAAAATTGAAAAGTGCTATATTTTAAGAGACAGTGGTCTCAACTACATGCACAAGTGGATCCTAAAAAATTTATGAAGAAAATGGAAGGCCATATTTATGGAGAGATACTTGCTTTCAAAAGCAGCAAACTTTCAGGATGAGCATGAGTCCTTTATGCACTTAGGAAAAACATACACTGCATTTCCTTTACTTGCATGACCAATAAATACAGCTGCAACCTGCTTTAAACATAAAACAGCACAAAATGTGAACCTCTGGCATATGCTACAGAAAGGTATTTGTTTAAAAACCTGTAGTAGTGATGAAACATTTATTAAAAAGATACAATCTTCCTAAAGGTACAAATACAAATAACTTTTTAATGGCTATACAGACGAAAATATAATGGGTTAATATTAATGATTAAGAATATATTCACTAAGTATATTTTCGTAGATTTGGGAGTCTTGTTCCTATATTAGCTTTGAGACAATATTTATATAGGGAAAGGCAATAAGCAAAAGTTTCTCCACTCATTATGACCTTTATGCCTATTAAGACTGATAATGCAAGACATCCAAGGTTTAGTAAAGAATTTATTTAATAAGCTCATTTTCCCCTACGAGAGCTTACAGTATTAGTTGGTAGTCCAACTGTCTCTGAGGGGACAGGGCACTTTCCAAAAGTCTTTAGCTAAAAATAGTGTACCAGTTAAATTTTAAGTACTGAATAAGCAAATTAAAAGTACAGTTAAGCTTAGAAATTCATTTTTAAAAGAGTTAAAAAAAAAAAAGCTTGGAGGAGGGAATCAATATGTAGGTTTTTATCGTTATTGCTTTCTGAATTTGAAATACCTCCTAGGATCATAATCTTACTCCTAGCATTATCTTGGTAATTACAGATGACTTCTGAGCCAGGGGGAAGACTTTTATCCTTTGTAATGGGTACCATAAAATCATTCTACTTACTATTAGGAATATTCATTTATTACGTCCTTTCCATAAGCACATTTTAAAAATTCCCTCTTCTCCACATTTCTCCATAAAACTTACAGCTTACATTCTGCAAGTAATCTCAAGAGTTGGCACAATGGATAATACAGCAAAAAGGAAGATCTGCTTAAATTTCACTGCCATCACAACTCTACAAATCAGAGGACGCCAGATTGCTCCATGCCTCACTCCACCAAACCAAATAATTTAATGATTTAGAAAAGTTGCAATCATTTGTATCACTAAACTAGGATACAGTTTTGAAAGCAGTACGGAATTCAAAACTTCTGCTTTTATATTCATCAGTCTTTAAAGCATGCTATCAAAATCTAATACTCACATAGGACATTGAGTTTCCAGATACATTACTAGCTAAATATTTCTCTCCATTCTATTGCAATTCTAACATACAATGAATTTATTAGTACATGATTTTAAACACTTTTTATATTTTTAATGCATTTATATTGGAGGTGAGGGTAGAATGTTTTATAAAAGGAAAATGGGGATTTGCTTTTGATTGTAGGTCTTTGCAGATCCGCTGGTTCCTGAGTGATTATACACAGTGCTGGCTGTCAGGAGACAGTCTTCTTGTTTACTAGTAATGACCAGCTTAGATGACAGATGGCATCTGCTGGATGGCAAGGGGAAGGTGGGGAAATCGGATCTTGGAAGACAAGAAAAACAAAATAAAAACTTTTTGCTTTAACAACCTTGCTCTTCATGATTATTTTAAAAAGCAAATGTTGCCTGAGAAGAATTTTACTTTGCACAGCCTGGTAAAGCTCTATGAAATTCTTCTGGACTGAAAAATAAAAGAAAGGAATAACCCAAACCCATACGTTTTGTGATTAGCCCCCTTTCCCACAAAATAACAAAAGAAATACCCTCAAAGGTCCCTTAAAAACTAGTTGTGATAAACTAGAATTTACCCAAGAATTTATACACAGGATTTAAAAACACCCCTGCAATAATCACATTACCTTTCATACCATTCTAATTACTTATTTACAAAGATAACTAAAACCAACATCACTTCCAATTCATAAATGGTTTACACTGAAATGTTTCCCTATTTGTCTTCATCCTTTGAAACAGAGAATACATACATATACATATATATAAGGAATAATACAGATTCTAACTAATCACTGTAGTAGTATTTGCTGATGGTTACTTTTCTATCAATTTACACAGTGACCTCTATACTTTGCTAATATCCATTTAACTACACAACAATATTGCACAAAGTAATATTTATATAAGATTTTACCTATTTCAGAATATTTTAGAGAAAATTCATATTTGATATTTCAAAAGATGCAGCTAAGTTTTCAGGGTGACAGACACAGTAAAGCAGCATCTTTTTTTTTTTTTTTTTTGCCTATGTTAATGTAAATATTTCAAATCTCACCATCCAAAAAACAAAAGTTCAAATTGCACTGTAACCAGGTAGATACAAGAATCTGGTCTTAGGTGTGGGGAGTACTCTTCCTTTAATAAACAAAAGGCCTACCCTAGTATTAACCAAAACAAAGTATGTGTATCATATTAACATTCTAAAATAATAGAAAGTTAATATCACACTAGCTATATGAACTGTGCCTCTCTGAAAAAGAGTAAAAAATTTAAATACTCAGGCACTAAGTTTTAGGCTACCAAAACTCTAGGATGAAGTTTAGTGCTGTATTCTTTATTAGAAAATAGCAACACAGAATAACAGTAAAGAAACCTAGTTATTCACCAGTTAGAACTGCGAAGTGTATCAAAAATAAGTATTTATCATGAGTAGGTTGATGCCAAGTAAAAAGAATAGTTTTTCTTAAGTTTGATGCTCAAAACATGGCAGCCTCATTAGAAAGATTGATATCATTCTCTTCAGTTTGATAACTGTGATCAATTTAGAAAGCAAAAGCATCCACATGAAATGTGAGGATGCTAGGAAGCAGAACAACAGAGTATTATGTCAACATCTCTTTCACCAAAAATGCCTTCCATAGTTACCATGTATTTTACAAGAGATTAATGAACCATGGATAATGACTGACCAAGGACTATTCAGCTTTAGATTTCTTTAATTGAAATATCCACTGGGCATTAAGTAACAGATATCAAAAAAAAAAAAAAAAAGTTTGGATCAGAAAGTGCTGTGCTTTCTCTTTCGTTAAGAAACCAGAGAGCCACTGAATTTTCCCTAGAAACTACTTGTTCCTTATGGCTGGACTAAATAACTTACTTGCCCATGTACCAGATGCAAGAACTCTTTCCTGCAATCTATGCCATTTTTTACTGTGGAAATTGAGTATGTGCCATGAAGACACAAATACTAAATCATAAATCTGACTTCTATCATAAAAATAGCAAATATGGCAAGAGACAAGGCAAGATAAAATTAAAGAAAGTGAATGATTTAACAAATAAGAATCTGTTATTCCAGAGAATTCTTGTTCTGATTTGAAGAAGAGATTGAATTGTTACCTCACACCTTAAAACAGAAAGTAGCAGCAGACCCACTATTACATACTGTACTAACGGGATAAGATACAACTCTTAATTTTGCATAATCTGTGTAAAAAAGATATGCCTGACATTTGTGGAATGTCATTTCTCTTTATAGAATTATAGGCAAGATTTCTCCAATAAAACTTAACTTAAGCCAGTTATAAAACTATAACTTCACATCAAAATTTAAAAAAGTTAAAAAATGTGTTTGAATATGTACATATCACACAGGAGTGCTTGTATTTTCCTGCAGATTGTGTTGCTGGTCTGAGTCCAGTCTATTTTCCACCTTCAAAACTGGAACAGGCTGAGTCTTCTGATCTTGCTGTAGATGATGAAGTTCTGATGAAGGTGAGAAAGACGATGAAGCAGTTGTCACAAGCTGCATCTCTGTGCATGTGGCCTCAGATTCAGTTTTTACCCTCACACATTGTGAGTCAACTTCTAATTCTCGCTTTCCAGTTAAATCAGAATCCAAGTTAGAATTGCTTTCTGTGTTCTGAGTGGCTTCAACAACAGGGTGGTACTGTTTAAGTCTTATGTGCCAGGCTAAGCTGCATACTGCTGACACTGTTTTGAACTGATGAATAACATTTCTAGGGATGAAGTAGATATCATTGTCACATAGCTGAATTCTAGCATAACGAATGCCTTCTCGCCTCATTTGGTTTAGTTTAGCTTCATCCACCCACTGTACACACTAAAGAAAGGCAAAAAGTTGTGTAAGACTTTAAAATGTGTAATAATTTAGTCAAAATATTATAATTAGCACAGGAAAACAGAAGGGATAAAATGTAATATAACAAACAAACAATATTAAATGAGATATAACTTTCTAAAGTGTCCTATTGGGAAACATTCTTCTTCATATTTTTCTACCTCTAGTCAAAACAAAGGACAGATGGCCTAAGGAATCACTTAAATAAGTACCTGGAAGTGCGGCTAAATATCAATATTGTTTGGCACACATAATGGCAACATTTTATATCTTCTCCTTCAATGTCTCAAACTTTTGCAGTTAAGGGACCATAGCACAATGAAGTTAACAAGTGAGACTGCTCATGGCCAGAATTGAGCAACCCTGAACCCTTTTGGCAACCTGAAGCCCACCTGGCATCCCAAAGATTAAAGGAATGTTAAGCATTTTGCTCGAGAAGCTGTGTTTTAATGACTTCTGACACTCAACATTCATACAGCCTTTAATAAAAATAAAATTATGTTCAATAACCATGTTATACAGTTATAAGATAAAATGCAAAATAAAATGGGTACAGACACTTATTTCTAATATCTAATACAAAGGGTAATTAAACAGCAGGATTCATTACCTGGGAAACAGGAGGTTCGTGAAGGTCTAATTGAAGTCTCTGTACAACATCAGTAAAATCCTCAGCATGAAAACAAATCACATCTTTGGTTATGCGAGGTTGGTCACTCCTAATATTTAATAAAATTAAGTTTTAGGACCAAGAATCCACTAAAAAAATGATGACAAATTTCAGTTCTCCACTTCCTGGAAATCCTACTACTAGCAAACAAAGAGAATACACATCTTCTGAAGACAAAGTATACACTTGATACTTTAATCAACTTTTAAAAAATAGAACCAACCAATAAAACTGCTTTTAAAAAAAACATAAAACTCAGATTAGCTGCTGCAAAATTAAAAGCCTTGGCTAAAAAAAGTTTTATTCCAAACAAGATTTGCAGTTCTCCCATCAGTTTGCACCTCTATGTCCTGAGCTTTATTAAAATTCGGCTCCTACTGAATGTAACATGGTTGGATCAGCCCCTGTGGAAAGCAGTTCCTTAAGACATTGAGAACAGAATTACTATATGATCCAGTAAAACCACTTCTGGGTATATACCACAAAAAACTGAAAGCAGGGACAGGAAGAGATATTTGAAAGCTAGTTAGCTATTGGATCAAAAGGTGGAAGCTACCAAGTGTCCATTAAGGGACAAAATGTTTTATATACACACATACAACACCCTATGTATTTAAAATGGTTTGTACACAGCCTTTTTAGAGAAAGGAGATTCTAACACTTGCTACATCAATGGATGAACCCTGAGTACATTATAATAAGAAAAATAGGCCAGTCACAAAAACACAAATACTGTATGATTCTATTTATATGAGATAACAAAAATAGTTAAATTCAAAGACACAGAAAATACAATGATAAGAGTTTAGGCATGAGGGGAAGAAGGGAATACTTCTTGAATACAGAGCCTCAATTTTGCAAGATGACAAGGTGCTGGAGACTTGTTTCACAACAATGTAATTATACTTAACATTAATGAATGTACACTTTTTAAACGTTTAAAATGGTAACTGTTACGGTTTGTGTCTAGATATTCTCCTAAAGCCTCATGTGGTCACAGGTGGGGCTTTTTCAAAGGTGGCTGGATCTAGAGTGTGTGATACTGGGATTAAGAATGTGTGGATACTAAATTAGTACAATGATTAGTTTGGCATAGTTCTGGATATGAATGCTACCTGCCCTAAGGGCGGTTATCCAAGATAGAAAAAGGTCGGAAAGAAGCTGCTATTGTCACTTGTAGCTTGGCGCCTTCTGCCTTCTGTCTTTTACCCACCATGAACTGTTTCTCTTTTGTGATGCCCCTCTACCATGCCATCCTATCTGGGAGCCAGTCAATTATGGGATGAAACCTCTACAAACTGTGAGCCAAAATAAACCTTTCCTCTTTTAACTTTGGGTGTTGAGTATTTGGTCTCAGCGAGAAAAAGTAACTAAGACAATAACCTTCAAGCATATTTTACCACACTTTAAAAATTGGCCCCCAACCTTTTAAGTAGAGTCTACATTTCCCTAGACAACATTAATCAACCTTACAGTTGAGGTCCATTTACTTACCATTCACCAAACTGTACAGCTTTCAAAACCCCAACAGCAGCCGTACTCTGCCAGTCAAACCCCTGACCTACATGATCAGCATGAGCTCTTGTCCTATCTTCAAAGAGGACTTCACGGGGTTCACTGGTCCGAGGTAGGTACTGGAGATTTTTAATTTCATTCATTGATCTGTAATTGATTTAGTTGTAAAACAAGAGGAAAGCAATGAGGTTAAGAAGCAAATTTTTAAAGTTTAACAGCAAGAAGATAAAAAAAAGTCTGTTGAGCTAGACATGGTAGTGCACGCCTGTAAGACAAGAGGATCACTGCAAGTCAGAGGCCAACCTGGATAACATAGTGAATTCAAGGCCACCCTGAACTATATATCAAGACAAGATAGATAGATAGATACATACATACATACATATATACATAGACAGACAGATAGACAGGGATGCGTGTGGTCCAGTGGCAGGGTGCTAGCCTGGCCCACAGGAGCCCCAGGTTCAATGCCCAGTACTGCCAAAAAGAAACTGATTCCCATAGTATCTGTGTTCCCCACCCTCAGCCCAAGGATGCTGCCTCGGTAAAGTAAAAAACAAGTCTGCTAAAATATCGTATTTAAATAAGATGACAGCTAAATATACAGTGGTTACACTCATTAGCACTTAACATATCACACTGTAATGATTAACGATTTCTTTTCTTTCTCTGTAGACCAGGATAAAGTAGAAGTTGCATCCTTGATTACACTCAAATAAAGTGTTCAACATATAAAACGTGGTTGTCTAGCAACATAAAGTATAACTCAAAGTTTAAGGCAGAGAACTTCTTTACCCTCAACTCAGTTGCTCTCATTTCTAACTTTGGAAACATCCTACTAATCCTATGATTTAAGAAGGAGAACTGAGCATCTATGTAATTGCCTTCTACATTAAAATCAAAGTAAAAGGCTTAAAACTAATACTGGGAAGGCTGGGGATGTAGCTCAGTGGCATAAGCACCTGCCTGGCAAGGGCAAGGTCCTGAGTTCGATTCCCAGCACCAAACAAAAAACCAAACAACTAATATTGGGAGCAGGACAGATTAGAAGGGATTGGAAGGACTGCAGATGAAACAGAACTGATCATGAGTTAACTACTGATACTAAACTCATGAGTTCATTATATTCTGCTTGTATAAGTACCCCAAAATCTCTACATATAGCCTTCTGACAGTAATCGTAAAATAAGAAATGAGGAATAAATTAGTAAATAACAGTATCAACAAGCTTCATCATGATTGAAAATGATTACATGTCTTAGACTTAATAAAACTGAGCAAAGAAAGCAATGGAGGCCAAGAATACAGAAAAAAAGAGTCAACAACCAAAAATGAAGCGGATCTATTCAATCAACTCTGTAAAATAAAAATCAAAGATCCCAACCAAGATGTAATGTAAAATTTCAGACTGCTTGTGGCAGAGGACACTGCAATCTTTCAAAAAAGAGGGGGGGAAACCCAAAAGGACAAAAATTACAACACATTAAAATTCTCAGAATATTAAATGACAAGAAGACATTAAAACAGTGCTAAAAATGCTAAATGAAAATACAGCCTCTGCATTCCAGTTAAGCTATAATCACATTTAATAACAATGAAAGAAATTTTCAGACATGTAAAGACTCAAAATGCCTTTCTTTTCTAGAACCTTACTTAAGAATGTCTTCAAGTGAAGGAAGTAAATACATCTAAGAGACACAATCATAGGTTAATGACAGAAAGCATTAAGTAAGAAATGCTAGGGCCGGGGATATAGCTCAGCAGCACAGCACCTGCTGGGAAAGTGCAAGGTTGTGAGTTTGATTCGCGGTACCAAAAAAAAAAAAATTGAAATTCTAGGTTGATAACTGTGAAACATGCCTTCCACACTAAATTAGGGAAACAGAGTTCCAAAAGATTTTCATATAAAGATATAATGTGCTTATGTGGAAGCTAAAAAGGTTGATCTCACAGTAGTGAGAACAACAGTGGTCACCAGAAGGTAGGGAGATAGTAAATACCAAAATACAGTTAGGAAAAGTAAGTTCTAGCGTCCCACAGCTCAGTAGGTGGTACCAGAGTTTACAAAAATTTATTATGTATTTCCAAATAACTAGAAGAGCTTGAAAGTTCTCAACACAAAGAAATAACTGTTTGAGAAGATACAAATGCTCATTTCTGATTTGATCATTTTATATTGTATACATGCACTGAATTATCAATAATAATCTAAAGATAGGCAATTATTAAATTATGTCAACTAAAATTAAAAATTAAAAAAATGTGAACTGATATGTTATAACAGATAAAATGATAAGTCTGGAAAGAACTGAAGATACTGGGCCAGGGATGTAACTCTGTGGTACAGCACCTGCCTATCAGGTGCAAAGCCCTGAGTTCAATTTCTGGTACCATAAAAGACAAAAAAAAAGAAAAGAAAAAGATTTGAGGCTATATAAAGTAAGAGAATGTAAGGAAACTCCTAACAGCCCCCGCAAAATAACAAAATAAAAGGTTTTATGTAAGAAAGTCAAACAAATGAGAAAGCCATTGTGGTTTTAGAGGAAAGTAACCACATGTGGTGGAGTATGCCTGTAATTCTAGCACTCAGGAGGATCCCAAGTTCAAAGCCAGTCTGAATAGATTTTTTTAAAGAGTTTTAATCAAATTCATAAGAAAAGAAGCATGTGATTCCCAGCACTAAGGTCATAACATATAAACCTTCCCCTAGAAAAGTATCAAATTAATTATGGTTTTTTAAAATATTGGCAGAAACGCAGTGGAAAAAAGTTAAATTAAAATAAAGGAAATACAAACAACAGTATATATTAAAGTGGATATACAAAATCATAAAACTGAAACCAAGTTTTAGACATGTTTTTTCAAATAGTTATATTCCCATGTAAACTTACTGAATAGTACATACAGAAAATGTTTTTCTATCCTTTCGTTTTATGTCTTTACTGGTAAAGTAAGTTTCTTGTGGGCAGTATATAGTTGCTTCTTTTTTTTAAAGCCATTCAGCCAGTGTGTACCTTTTAACTGAAGAATTTCATCCATTTACATTCAAGGTTACTATTGAGACTAAAGTCATTACTGTCATTTTGTTTGCTAATTTTCTTCTAATTATTTTAAATATCCTTTCTTCTTTCCTTCCTTGTTTGCTCATCTCTGTGGTTTGATGGTTTATTGTATTGATAAGGCTTGAGTCTTTTCTATTTCTCTTTTATGTATTAGCTCTTATACTGGATTTCATACTTTGACACATTTTCGTGATGGTAGTTATCTTTCTTTTATTTCTGGATGTAGGGCTTATTTAAGCTACTTTTTACGCTTGCTGGCAAGATCTTTATTTCCTTTTGTTTCTGACAGCCTTGCTAAGTGTAATAATCTTGGTTGGCAGTTACCTATTTTTAGGACCTATCTTCCTTATTTGTCTCTTCTTAAAGAAAATATATTGGAAATGTTTTGATGAAGTCATATGGTTTCCACCACTGAGCAAACTGCAGTACTTTCTTTCTCAGATCCTCAAAGCTTTCTCAGATGCCCTTCCTCCAAAGTCTTGCTATTAGATCCAACATCCAACCAATTATTTCCTTTTACCTAGAGAAGTCATGAGAGAATTTGTGATCTTCAGTGATACGGCAAATTCTCCTTAGAGGCCAAAGTCCACTGAGAAGGTAATCCTCTGGGTATAAACTGTCTGCTATCTTTTTTTTGAAGAGCAATCAATTTCTTCTTCATGGACCACTCTTCATGAGATTCCATTACGGCTTTCTTAAAATAGACAGGAGCCATGTCACTCACTTCCTTTGGGAGAGGAATACATTCATAAACCATGTGATACTGCTTCTTCATGCTCATACTAGTTTCTAAAGAGATGCAGGCCAATCCCTTATCATCAAACATCTTTATTAATGATTTTCTAAACACATTAATTTTTTCCCAGATATCTTCATCCAGTAAGGTAGCAGCTCAATGATACTGCAAAAGGACTATCAGGCAGTGCCCCTAAGAAAGAGATCAGAAGTTGGGTAAACACAAATAAACTGTAAGGTGCTTGGGAAACTGAGAGCTGTCAAAACAATACAGACATTTTTCCATTTGCGCAGCAAGACGCTGGTGCTCAGCAATAGCCTTTTTCCTCTGGTTCTGTTCCTCTTCACCAAGATGTTCTCTCTCACCTATTTTGGATACAAACACATCATCTAGAGTATAATAGTCTCCATCCGTTTTTCCCATGAACTTAGATGTCATTCTCATAAAGTTTGTTTTGATATTCTGCTGTTCCTATCTTTTCATTTTTGAATAAATCATTTAGGCTTAGATGATCATCATTAAGAAAGTATCTGACTTTTCCTCAGTAGAAACCTGAGGCAGACACACCTATATCCTGAGGTTCTGGTGTGTTCACAGGCCACACTCCTTCAGACTCATTTGTTCTGACAAGGATCACTTCTTGCTGGTCTGCATTCTCCTCAGCTCTTGTTGTTTTTGATGATATTTGTTAGTTTCTTTCATTAGCTTTTGCAAGTTGGCTTTAGGTTGTTCAGCCAGTTCCACATTCCCCATCATCTCTTCCTTAGTAATTCTGGCTCCCAGTTTGTTCTCATCAACATCCAGACATGCATGGATTCATCCTCTGGACCCATATCTTTCAGCGACGAAGTCCTCAAATTTTCTGTTTTGTTTTTCAGCTTGTTCCTTCACTCTTTGGCAAGATTTCCTCAGCCAGCTTAATCTACCATCCTCTACTCCTGATAAACTACTAGCTGATTCACTTTTTTCACCATTTCTGTTTCTTGCTCTTTTTTTCTACTCACTCTTTACTTTTCCTGAATGGTTGCCTTTTTTCTTCTTCTTCTTTTTTTTCTCAAATGTTCCTTCAAGAACTGTTAAATTTGTTCAGTCATATCAAGCAGCATCCAGGTATTTGCACCTTGAAGTCATTTAAGTTCTTTCCACCTTTCTTTTTCAAGACTGGCTTTGGCCTGATGCAACACCTCCACCCTGGTAATTTGAGTCTGTTCCTTATAGTCCATACTCTTTGCCACGGTAATGTATTTTAAGCAATGAGACTAACAGATATATGGGATACAGTTAAGAAAGCATTTAATCTCCTTCAACAAAGGATAACCAGAAACTGCAGGCAAAAGAGAACAATAAAT